GACTGGATGCCTCGGGGACTTTCGGAGCTTTCCCATACTAATCAGAAGCTGACTCCAGGGCTGCTCGGATGCCCATATTACCTTGCTCAAAGCAGCAACCTCTTATCCCTACAACACAAAAAAATAACTCTTCAACCCCCACCCTCTGCATCAAAGTGCACTTTATGAGGGCCAAAGAGCACAGAAGGAAAATGAAAGAACCTAGCAGCTATGGGTGTAAAAACTCAACCACCTTGCACACCTTCCTCTGGCTCCTTATGGATAACGTCGAAGTGACAGAAGCAAGTTAAGTTTCGTTGCATGTTTTCCCGGCACTTTTAGTCATGGGGTTTTCAGTGTTCAAGATGCAGACTTACACTGAAGATGCATTCAAGGCTGATAAGGATATAATCTCCCTCCCAGTAAATAAGAGATGCTACCCAAAGTTCTACCAATGTACTTTGGACAGTGAAAAACCCAGGGCATAAGCTTGATTTGAATGGATGTGCATACTTGAGGCAGTTTGATGAACTTTCTAGAGTTCCAGGTTGCTTTTGCTCAGTAGCGATTTTTATTTCTGTTACGTAAAACCAGGGAAGGGAAATTCACATTCACACACATAAGCACTGTCTTTGTGTATTGGGCCTACTGTAACAAAATACCTTAGACTGGGTGACTTAAAAATAACAAAATCTTATTTACCACAGTTCTTCCGGCTGGGAAGTCCAAGATCATAGCACCAGCAGATTCACTATCTGGTAAGGACCCACCTTCTTGTTTATAGATGGTGCCTTCTCTTTGTGTCCTCACATGGTAGAAGGGCACGGCAGCTCTCTGGGGCCTCTTTATAAACGCACTGGTCCCACTTATGAGGGTTTAACCCTCATGATCTTATCACCTCCCAAAGGTCCCACCTCCTAACACCATCACATTGGTGATCGGGATTCAACATATGCATCTGGAGGGCACACAAAATTCAAACCATAGCACACACACCTCAAAGGCAAAAGTAAGTGAAAATGAGCATGAGATTTAGCTTACATAACGTAGTGTCTACAAAGCTCTTTATATATCAAATGTGCTGAAATCAACATTTTTATACAACATTAAGAGGAGCCACTTTTTTTTTAAAATCTTAAATAGATTTGCAGAAACCACCCCAAAGTGATCCGTTTCATATGAATTTCTGTTTGCTCAAAATAGTGACTCTCATTAATTCTGGACAAACAGGCTTAGTCATTTGCCAAAGCACTAAGCTCTTCCCGACAATATGACAGGGCATCAAACTGGAAAATAAAATGCTATGCCGTGGGAAGAACATGACTTTCAAGTAGCCACTCCCCCTTCTATCACACAGTGAGCGCAGCAAAACCTATTACATTGTCCAAGGCATCCAAGTTGATTATCAGGAAGTTACACACACCGGACCTCTAAGCATAGAAGGTACAGTAAGAAGGAAAGCATTTTCTCTTAAACTCTGAGTAAGCAGTCCTCAGGTTCTAGTTCACTATATCAAACCTGAAGTTTTCCAATCTGAAAAGTGTGGTGTCACTACTGAGCTTAATTCTATACCAAATGACGCTTAGATGGCTGCTTCTCCTATCCACTGAAACCTTACCAGGGACACCCCTGTGTTTCAACCTGAAGGAGCAAGGAGGAAGAAGCTGCTGAATATGTTCCCTGGTCCAAAGGGGAATCGACTTATGCAGAGACATAGAAGAGATGGTGACTGCTGTGGTATATTCCATCTCAAAGTGAGGTCATTTAAATCCAGATTTAAGGTCCTCCTCCTGGAAATCCCACTGATGTGAGTTGGCAGTTTCTAGAGTCAGACTGCCCAAACCCAAAGCGAGGATACGCCGCTTATTCTAGGTGTGACCTGGGCAACTGACTTCCCCACTGTAACTTAGTTTCTCCTAGTAAAACGGATGCAATAGTACCTTCCCCATGGAGTTGTGCTAAGGACTGAACGAGACTCAAAGCATTCAGAACCTAACACCTGGCCTTACACACAGGAAGCACTCAAGACACATTAGTTCCTGATTTTATACCCATGTTCAATAGAAAGGTACATTCTTCCCAGAGAATTTGGACTGTGTTAAACAGAACCAGGCACATTATCCTATCCACCACACTTCCAGCTGCATAATAAAGTGAGGTTTTCTCATGGTCTAAATCAGGCCCTTTAATCTGTTTTCTGATAAAAAGTTCTGAAAAGGGGAATTTATACATATGTAAAAGTCAGTGTTTCCCCTAAAAAAACAAAAATCATTATGTTTTCTATTAGGATAGCAAAAATGCCCTTTCTGAAAAACAATGCACACAATAATACTCTCAAGGTGGGCAATGTATATTATACTCAAAGAAATAAATACAAACTTAACTTCTCCCCTTCTTAACTTTTATTTCAAACTACAGGTGCCCCACCTCCCCTCCCTCAAACCTTACTTTCCCCTCAGAGGCATAAATTACAAGGGAAAAGAGCAAAAACAGTCTGGATAAAAGCAATGTATTATTTGTCCAAGTAGCAACAAAAAGGGACTATCTCACTCCTGCCATTGCTGAGTCTCCACGTTCTACTCTTCCCCCCACCTCCTCTACCTCACCCACCGACAAGGATGCCAGCAAAAGATCCAGAGACTCCTGGTCCTCGTTTTTGTTCAGGCAGTGACCAAGTGCCTGACCAAGAAAGTCAATCCCCTATAAAATGAGGACAGCAGTAACATCTACCTTTCCAAGGACACATTATAAATGCTTTAAGGCAATAACCTTATATTACAGTTAACACTTTAAAAATTCAAACTTTAAATACTGTGTTAGTTCGATGTTATGATCAGGTCAGAGAATATGGGGGAAATTAAATGGGAATTCCAGAAAGCAATAGTTCCAGAGAGGCCAAAGCTGTACATTTAGGTGCCTGTCAAGCAGCCCCCATACATCTGGAAAATGGCCATTCCAATTTCTGTTATTACACAAGCATGAAGTTGCATACTCAAAAAGATACCAAGGATGCCCCGGATGACTGGAACACAAAGTCCTCAGCACATGCCAGGCACAGAAAAGGCATAGCCCTCACTACACTTCAATTCACTTAATTCCCACAACCACCCCGCGCAGGGGCTTCCTGCCTGAGCCCTTCTGAACTCAGCAGCCCCCGCAGTGCAGGCACGTACTGGGTCACAACAGACACCTCGGCAGTGAGGAAAAACCCAAAGGCCTGTGACGGAGGGAAAAAGTCAGGAGATCTTACCTCGGGGATTCCTACTGGGAAAAAGAAAAGGACAGTGTGTTCCAGAAGGCTCAGGAGGAGGCTCAGATCATTAATCTGACAAGAATAATGGGATGAGATGACTGGCAGAGGACCAAGTAACAGAATAAGGCAGGGGTTGACCAGCCTTCACATTTCAAAGGCAGTTCACTATCTTGACCCTTTTTGTGAGAAATCATCATTTCATCATAAAACAGAAAATTAGTTGTACTTCCTTATCAGCTTAGAGCAAGATTAATGGCAAGTTAGCTTCCAAATTCCATAATTAATAAGTATCACCTTTTGATAAGTCATAACCTCTCCTCAGAGCTGAAGCTCTGGCAGGACAATTCCAGGTTCACATGATCTCCAGTCAGTGCAAGGAAGTATCAGTGTGATCCTCTTAGTCATAGTAACAGAAGTAACAGTAGTAACAGTAGCAACAGTAGTAGCAACAGCAGCCATGGTAAAACAGCAGTTATTGATATTTGCTGCATGCCTATTAAGTGTCGGCCACTGTTGAGATCACTGGACCTTGATTTCACCAAAGAAGATGAAGTAGTTTATATTTTTACCCCTCTTTACGGAAACTGAGTCTTAAGAAGGTTTGGTAACTTGCCCAAGGTGGCAGAGCTACTAAGTGGTGGCCTCAGAATTTTGACCAAGTCAGCTGACACCAGAGCCTGCACTCTGAACAACTAGTTAGTTTGGAGAGTTTGAAATTTTGGGGACTGGATAGTTTGAAATTTTTGCCCATAGATGTTTTTCAGCTGTTACTTGTTTAACTGAAGGACTTTTTCAAACTGTCCCTAGCCTGTGGGATAAAGTCCACTCGTGAGGACAAGATATGCACACACAAAGCACTAACTCAGATGGCTCAAGAACAAAATCCAGCATCCACAATGAGGAGAGGCACCAGAGTCGGGGGGTTGTGGGGGGCGGAGCAGCAGATGAATCAAGAATTGCCAAAGATTGAGAATTACTGAAACCAGGTGATGGGTACAAGTGGGCTCATCTTACTCTTCTCTGCAATGACAGGGTCAGTCCAGTATAGGGAAGGACTGTCTGGCCAAAAAATGTCAAGAACACCCACTAAAGAAATCATGAAAGCTAAAAGGATTGCTGAGACAGACTTTCAACAACATGGGTAAAGCAAGAGTTAATATGGACGTGGCTACATCTTATCTCAGGCCTTTAAGGTTACTCTAGGGCCAATAACAAAATAGAGGCTTTGAACACGGAAGGTGCTCACCTGATATTGCGTGTTCATGCAACATTCATTCATTGCATCCCCAGTCTACCAGCTTTGTCAGGAATAGCCATGTTGGGTCAGAGTTAAGAACAAAACATGGCCCAGATTTTTAATGTTCACAATTCTTTCAGATACCTCTTAAGAAATAAATTAGTTTTTAATTGATGTGTATGATGTTTTAAATTTTCAAACCTATCGAAAAACGTTTTTACAAGTGCATTTCTTGAAGTTTTATGAGTATTACCATTATAAAATGTGAAAGGCAGAAAATATAGTAAAATTGAAAGTAAAATTGTTCTTTATCAAAAAGCTATGTACTAAACTGGTATTTTTCACAGGATGATCTAATGACTTATCAAAACAATAAGGAAAACATGTTATCCTTCGGACCCAAACATTCTGTAAATATCATTCTTAAAAGAGATTACATGCATTTATTCATTTCTCAGGAACGATTCGACATGCCTTGAAACTGTAACACTTCTGTAATCAAGTAAAAAATGTTCTATTTATCAGTTTTACCTGCTATTTGTACTGAACCATCCTCACCCAGAAGAATATTACCAGCTTTCAAATCCCTATTAGAAAAAAAAAAAAAATAGAAAATAAATTGTAAGGTACAGACTTTATAGTGTATTGATTCACTCAGGAAGATTCTAAAACATATCATACAATGTAGTTCTTTAACATAATAATTTCATAAACATTAAGATTATATCACAGATTTTAAAAGTTAAAAGGATAGGCTGGGCATGGTGGTTCACACCTGTAATCCCAGCACTTTGGGAGGTCAAGGCGGGTGGAGCATCTAAGGTCAGGAGTTTGAGACCAGCCTGGCCAACATGGTGGAACCCCATCTCTACTAAAAATACAAAAATTAGTTGGGCGTGGTGGCAGGTGGCTGTAATCCCAGCTACTTGGGAGGCTCAGGCAGGAGAATCACTTGAACCCGGGAGGTGGAGGTTGCAGTGAGCCGAGACCATGCCACTGCACTCCAGCCTAGGCAACAAGAGTGAAACTCGGTCTCCAAAAAAAAAAAAAAAAAAGGTATAAGGATTCAACTGTCATTTTATAGTTTACTCCTGGGGGAGAGTTAGGATTTTAGAAAGAAATATTTTCTATGAAATAATTATCCAAATTTAATTAAATCATCAGTAAGCAGACTCTCTATTTTATGCTTCAGAGTTAGAGACTGCCCAGAAACTCACACTACGGTCATTCTATCAAGTATTAAAGCCCAGTCTATGTAAAGCTCCTCCACTTCCACTTCAATTTGGGGTGCAATTCCAAGTTAATTCTCTTTCTGAAAAATGAACTTCTCTCCTCTGGTGAGAGACTGATTATAAATACTAATTATTATATAGTATATTTCTTCACCATATAAAACCTGTGTAATCTTAGTACTTTGAAAAACGACAATTTGCAATTTGTAAGTTTGATTTCTAAAGTAATTTTTTTCTAATTATTGAAAAATATAGGCCAGCTACAGTGGCTCACGCCTGTAATCCCAGCACTTTGGGAGGTCGAGGTGGGCAGATCACCTGAGGTCAAGAGTGGGAGTCCAGCCTGGCCAACATAGTGAAACTCCATCTCTACTAAAAATATGAAAATTAGCCAGGCATGGTGGCAGGTGCCTGTAATCCCAGCTACTCGGGAGGCTGAGTCAGGAGAATCACTTGAACTCGGGAGGCAGAGGTTGCAGTGAGCCGAGATCATGCCACTGCACTCCAGCCTGGGCAACAGAGCAAGATTTCGTCTCAAAAAAAAAAAAAAGAAAAGAAAAATATAGTAGAAATAATTAAATATAAATTTCAGGGTAGGAGAATTACATTATTAGTATTATGGGTAGATGGCTATTTACTTGCAATAATTTCTAAGAGCCCAAGTAGCACTAACTCACTTGAAACATCAAGCACTCCTATTCTATGTGATTTGACTATATAAAGAATTAACATTTTATGTCACAAAAGATGTGTGCCTCCTCCTTCCCTCTCACCACATCAAAAATAATTCACATATTACAATGTTTGGATAGTCTTGCTTGCATTAGAAAGATAGAGGTGCTATCTAGTTCAATTAGTATAATTCAAGAGTAGTTACCAAGACTGATTTTTTAAAATGAGTCCATGTAGTCCTTTTTATATTCCACTCTTATTTCAGTGAAAGCCCCTGAAGCAATCCTCAAGGATACCAATATAATTCATCAAAATGTATTCACTTGTTTCTTTCTTAAGTATTTTTTTCCCATCTATTTAGCCTAAGTTAATGTCAATACCTGCCTGCAACATGTGTTTCCTTAACATTCTTTACAAACTAGGGCTGAAGATATGAACAGCTCATTTAAACATTTCTGCAGGGGTCATACCTGTGAATCTGACCATTTCTGTGTAGATAGTCTAAGCCTTCCAAAACCTCTTTAAGAATTGTTGCTATTATTGCCTCTTCCAGAACTCCATTCTTGTGTTCTCCTCGGTTGACAATGTATTTTATGATATCCAACATTGAACCTAAGTAGACAAACAGAAGAATTATCACCTTCATCACCTTTTCAGAACAAGACTCCATTATGTATAAAATGTAATGGAAACATCAAAATATGGGCTTTGTTTATTTAATGCAAATATTCCCAAGGCAAACAAACAATTGAATGACAGCCCCATGACCAAAAGCACTAAATCCAAGTTTGCAAGAGCACTTTCAGTGTGAATTTAATGAGAAGGATTCTGGGTCAGGAACCAGAAGGCTGTTCATGGCCATTCCATGGTTGGTTCCTTTTCCCTAGAAATACTGGTTACAGCATTTCTCACAAAAATTCCTAAGAGCAACCCTCCAAAGAGGGTGCAAAAAGTCTGAACTGACAAAGAAAGGAGTATGAGGCCAGGAGAAAAGGCAGAAGCGAACTGCTGAGAGAAAAAACCCCACTCTCTGAGGACCTAAATCATAGTTGGGAGGGGGAAAGAAGGATGTTGTTTCTAGACCTCTGCTTATAACCAGAAGGTTCCTTCCTGTGACACTGCATGATCTTTATTTTCTCTCCTTCTTTTTCTTCTTTCATTTGAGACAGAGTCTGCCTCTGTCATGTAAGCTGGAGAGCAATGGAGCAATCACAGCTCACTGCAGCCTCAACTTCCCAGGCTCAAGCGATCCTCCCACCTCAGCCTCCCAAGCAGCTGGGACTACAAGTACATGCCACCATGTCTGGCTAATTTTTGTATTTTTTGCAGAGATGGGGTTTCACCATGTTGCCCATGATGGTCTTGAACTTCTGGGCTTGAGAGATCTGCCCACCTCAGCCTCCCAAAGTGCTGGGCTTATAGGCATAAGCCACTGCACCCGGCTGATCTTTATTTCATTTACCTTATATATTTGAGGCACTAACACTTACAGTAAACAAACAAATACCTAGTACTTTGTTACCATATACAGATTAGTATCCTTGGCACTGTGAATTCATGTTTCAACACATATTAATTAGTATTCCAAACCCCTGGGTCAGTTTAAAAGCCAAAATTACCTGGGGGTTTGACATTTCTGAAGAATTAACAAACGGCTTACCTCAGGACCTGAATTTGGCTCTAGGCTCTTTATAATTAACTAAGAGGATTGAGCTTCCCCATCAGATATAGCTGCCTGCCCCTCATTAAGAGATTCAATGTAATGAAATAGAAGAAAACAAATGCATATTTTTCCCCGGGGGGGGAAAAAAACACTCTGTTTATTTGTTGACTCTTAGATTTTTGTGTCATTTAAAAAATGGTAATTGTAAATACATTTTCCTTTTATTGTATAAGGATATACCATACCAGGCATGCATGCATTTCTGCCCTGCTGAAAGAAAAATGAGTAAGAGTCCACGTCTGCCCACATCCTCACCTGTAGAAACCTGTTTAAAACCTGTTCTTACCTAAAGCTCAGAGAGGTTAAATTGGACTCTTAAAAAGACAAAGCAATTTTCTGTCAGATCCTCCTTAGAGAACAGAAGATTCTCAGCTTCATAAAAGCAAAAGGTAAAATCTTCAGCTTGAGCAGAGCACTTGGGACTATTCAGCATCTCAAGTCACCAGAATTTCTCATTTCGTCAGAGTTGGTAGAACCCCACAAAAAGAGAATGGCTTAAGATCATCTTGTTGGCAAAGCACGAGTCCCTCTGCTGAATGAAGGGGCAGTCCTAGCAGTCCAGCTCTGGCAGGCTTCCTTTTTCTTTTCCTTTTTTTTCTTTTTAATTAAAAACTGAAGTAGGCACTCAAGGAAACAATGACTAATAAGATTGAGGAAGACTGAAAACAGAACAGAACTAAGCTCTCCAGGGCTCCCCACCGAGACCTACACAAGCAGACCCAAGCCAATTACAATGCCTTCGTCACCTCATTTCTGGGCCTCTGCTTGATCCAAGAGAGTTTCTTTTTAAAAAAAGGAAAACATTAAGACACCTCCTTCGACATCTGCAGATTAAAATGGGCTCTGTCATATAAACTCTGCTATGCTAGTTTTGGGTTGTCCAGGCACAGCAAAATGTTCTCCTCTGATCCTAAACCATACTTCATGTCTCAGAAAGATACACAGGGAATGAAGCCCTTAAAAGAGAACATACCAGAGATGTGGGTATGCTGGGTGTTCCCAAGGAAATCACTTGGGCTTTCTAAGCTTCAGTGTCCATGTGTGCAAAACAAAAGTGTAAATACTTGCAGCACCGCATACTAATTTTTAAGTCAACCGATTTTAGAGTCACAAATTCCAGCACCAACATTTACTATGTGTGTGACCTTGGGCAAGTTGCTAAACTCCCTTGAGATTTGGTGTAATTTCTGAAAAACAGGGATGGTGACACAGGCCATTCAGGGATATTGTCAAGACTAAATGTGGTAAGGTCAGTAAATTGCCTTGGACAGGATCTAGCCACAGAGCAAGTGTTCAAAAAAGGGAATGGTTATCATTATCGTTCCCTCTCTGATAGTGATGTTAGAAGATTAAAAGAAATAAAATACAGGATGTGAAAGCACCTTATAAATTAAATTGTCAATGGCTTGCATCACTGCAGGGATCTGAAGCTAGAGAAAGGAAGTGACTTTCCCTTCCCAAATGCAACAATAGGATGAGAATAGTGCCACTTCTGATCAACACTGCAAGTGAGTATGTAGCACACATTTCTCCCCATGTTAACTGAAACCACATTTAGTGAACACCTACTGGGCGCCAAGTTCAATGAATTCAAAGTGCATTAGACAATCTTCACGAAGTTCACAATCTAAATATGCACTGTCCAATACTGGAGCCGTACAAGGTGATTTAAATGTAAGTTAATTAAAATGGAATACTCAGTCCCGCAGTCACACCAGCCACATGTCAAGTATTTAAGAGTCACATAGGATTAGTAAAAAGTAGATAGCAGAACCTCAGAACATTTCCATCATCACAGAACATTCTAATAAACGGCACTGAGATAATTCAGCAAACTGGTTAAGGACCTGAATAATGTTAAAAAGAAAGGACTCAAGGAGAAAGGACTGGCTAACTTTTTTTAAAAAAAATAAGCGGTGACTGTGGAGAGGATGTGACCTTTTAGGCCTGAGAACATGGAAAAGAAAGGAGAGATGCAAGGCTGAGAAAGAGGACAGGTCAGGGACAAAGGCATGAGAGCACATAATACATTCCAGGGGCTGCCTCTCAACCTAGAAGGTCGAGCATTTCATAACTGGAGAAGACGACACACATATTCTCAGAAGTTAAGTGAAATTATGAAAAGCTTTGAGGTCAGTGCGAAGCAATCTGGATGTTACCCTCTAGGCAATGAGAAACCAAACAAACTTTCAAACACAGGAGAGAAAGGATTCAATCTAAAGTCTTCTCCAATATGCTGGTTCCAACAAAAGGAGAGAAAACAAGCAAACAAATAACAACAACAAAATCCACTTACCTCCGCTTAGTAATTTCATGACCAGCCAAAGTTCATCTTTGACCACAAAAGAGGTGTAATAGGTCACTACGTTGGGATGGCTGCACTGACTCATGGCTTGAATTTCTTTCTATAAAAAGAGCAAAACATGACATAGTACCATGGGGTGAAAGGTGGCAAGCAAACACAAGTGAATCACAGTTGAGTACCTGGGTAACTTTCCTATTCGAAAGCCTACCTGAGGGGCTGCCTAAGCCACTACTTCAAAGAAGGTACATAAGGACCAACTCTCTCACCGCATTATCAACTCCGATTAGAAAGTTCTCTACAGGAGACCACAAAGCCCTGTGGGCCAGCCACTGGACATAGGAACTTCAGATCACTGTTATCACCCAGATGACCCCCCAACTCTGCCAGCACAGAGCCCTGCCATGTAGGACTAAGAGCCTCATACCTGAACTGAAGGCTTGACAGGGAGATAAAAGACTGGGGAAGTTACTAGGACACCTGCATCCTGGTGCCAGCCTGAACTCTGGTGGATCTTAGCTCCTCCCTCATCCAAAAAACGACAACAAAACTGTCTCCGTTTCTCAGGACTGCTGTGATGGTAAATGAGAAAATACATTTGAAAATGCTACAGTATTATTTCCCAGCTATCTGCCATAGTAGATATTCCATTAAGTGAAAAAAAAGGAGGTGGCAGGGAAGAGTGCAGCAGGCGAAGTAAAATAAGCTTGGGAAACATCAGATACTACATCTCATTCTAAAAGAATCACAGGGAATATTAGTACTGTCAAAGGCTCTGAGAAGTCCTGCAATAGATAAACTGCCACAGTTTAATCCATATTAACAAAGCAGGAAAAGAATGCTTTGTAGGTCACATCTTGGAAACACTGCTATAGAGAATAAAAGTTTTATATAAAGACATAAAACAACAAAGCTGGGAAATAAAACAAATGACAACTTTCAATAAACCACATTTTTCGGGAATATTCAGTTTCATATTGATTTCAGTTTGTCCTTTTAAGTTATTGTCAGATGACTCCATAAAAGCTTCAGTCTAATGTAACTCTCAATCAAAGGTACCAGACCAGTGTAACTCACTTTCAAGGTACTATCCAAAAAGGACAAGAATAACCTAAATGATCAAAGAAAACTCATTTTTGCTATTATGTATTAATGATGAAAGAAGAGTACTTTATGCATCCTATGAATATATTCAATAATAATGAGCTTTGCATTAACTCAAAGTTACCCAAGTAGAACATCTCAATTTGGGCTGTTATCTTTGCATGTCCAGTACTGCCTAATCCTCATACTACTAAAAAGATCCTACATATCCAACAACTTGGCCAAAATTCTGTAACATGTAACACTTACATACGTTCCTTAATATATATGTTTATTTAAAGTGTTTTTGACTGGGAGCAGCGGCTCACACCTGTAATCCCAACACTTTGGGAGGCAGAGGCAGATGGATCATCTGAGGTCAGGAGTTCAAGACCAGACTGGCCAACATGAGGAAACACTGTCTCTACAAAAAATTAGCTGAGTGTGGTGATGTGCGCCTGTAGTCCCAGTGACTGAGGAAGCTGAGGCACGAGAATCACTCGAACCTGGGAAGTGGAGGTTGCAGTGAGCTGAGATCGTGCCACTGGACTCCAGCCTGAGTGACAAAGCAAGACTCTGTCTCAAAAAAATAAAAAAATAGTAAAAATGAAGTGCTTTTAACCAAAGATAATTTTCTATTTTCTTTTCAGTATATAACCATGTTTTTCCTTCATCATTCCCCTCATCCATTGGACTGATTACAGGTTTTCTAGATCTGACACTTTTCAATTCAGCAACTCTTTTCCTTTGAATAACATCTGAAACCTGAGGTCCAGTTTCCATCTGTTTCTGGTATTAGGTTCTCATGCCATAAGACACTTCTGAAGGAGAAATGGAACACTGCCTCGGCCACTCCTATTTCAAGTCAATAGCATCTGCTCAGTGGGGGGATGGCCCACATTGAAGGTCTGCAGCATTAGGTAGGGTCCAGTTTAAACAGATGCCTAGTGTTCAAAGAAATGTCTCTTAATGCAGCTGTGCTCTAAATGTAAGTGAATGCCTTTCTAGTGCTGTAACTCCAAACTTTTACATCATTTATCAAAATGCACAAAACAACTAATGGTCATACAAAAGGAAATTCTTTTGCATTGAAGGCAAGGTTGAGTCAGTCTAGAAAAACCACTTTTTAGTCCTCTGCATTTAGATGGCCAGTATCACTTCCCACCCAGAGTATCAGGTTCTCTGACTTTGCAGTGAGCGTGTGTGTGTGTGTGTGTGTGTGTAACTCCTTTAGAAAACCTATAGATATAACTTAGCAAATTATATTTCTTCAAAACTCTGAGTCTTAGAGACACCATCTGGACATTAAAAGGTTCCAGAATTTAAATGAGTTGGGGATGAGGGGTCACAGATATCACCGTACCAACACAACCACAGGAGTAATATAAGGACAGGTAAAAGAAGGGGCAGGGGGCCTGAGGGTGGCTTTGCATCAGTTTGATCACTCAACCTCACATTCTTCTTCCATGCAGCTGAGCCGTCCCTCTTCACTTCTTGGCTAGGGGGTCCATGTCCCCAACTCCTGCACCAACCATTGTCCTGCACAGCAGCTTTTCCACGAGCATCAATGCTTAAGGACAGGAGAAACTTGCCTTAGGGAGAAACACCTGTCGCTCTGTCCTGGGATAGGACCTGCGCTATCGCTGATCCCCAGGATAAGTAATATTTCCACATAGAAGAAAGTAAAAGCCCAAAAACTAGAAATCTTTCCACAAAACTATCCCCACCATTTCTTTTCAAAACAATCATGGGTGTTATTTGAATGCTCCCTTGGTAACAATCTATCAGTTAAATTATCTAAGCTTTTCTTAATGCCCTAACCTCATTCATGTGGTTAGGAAAAGACATTTATCCCCAAACATATCTGTTTGTCCCTATCCCTAAAAATGACAAAACTATAGACTAAAGATGAACAATGTGAAAATATAAAAATGTTTTAGCTGATTCTTTCGACTGAATGAATGGGTTCTAACATCCTAGTCTCTTAATTAGGTCACAATCCAAAGGAGGAGTATGAATTAAAGTGGTGCTTGTCTAATTTGGATGGGCATGCAGATCACCTCAGCAATTGGCTAAGATGCAGATTCCCATTCGGAAGGGCTGTGGTGCCGCCTGAGAATCTGCATTTCTAGCAGGCTTCCATGTGATGCTGATGCTATGGGCCCAGAAACCAGACTCTGAGTGGCAAAGCGATAGACTGAGCTTTGAAAGAAGGCAGAGAGGAAGGTTGGGGGATGTGAGAGGAGGGACACAGATGACTGCAATGAAGCCCACAGTGTCAAAAGTGCCCAGCAGGGGGACTGGCCAACAGCACTGCCTGGCTAAGTCTAACTGGAGGAGAGTCTAAGTGGAGGAGAGGGGTAAGAAGCAAAGCTGGAAATAAGGGAGACTGTTGTACTAAAGTGGTGTGAATTTCGCAAGGCCAGAAAAGGGTAAAAACTACATTGAGATTTAAAAAAGAAACGCAAGCAAACAAACAAAAAAACCCATGAGGTCAAAGTTGGGAGAAATTACAGAACTCTGAAATCCAGGCAAAACATTTGCCAAAAATATAGCCAAGGAATCGAACACAGTGGCTCCCTTGGAAAACTAGGAGATGAGACTCAGACACGTCACAAGCGCCAAACCAAGCCATGGCACAGTAGTTAATCTTCTCTGAGGCGGACAGAGCTGTTCCTGCAGCTCCATCCGAAATGCATCACAAGGGAAATTTCACAAGAGTGGGAAGACCAACCTTAAAATGGGGTAGCATGGAAGATCCCCTATCCATCTGCTAGAACTGAAGTGGCAGCCACAGCAGTACCCCTCTGCAGGGAGCTGTGTGCAAGACAGACATATCAAAGAAGGACACCCACACACTGCTGTTATGCCAGCCCTGCAAAATTTGCCAAACCAGACATTATGTGTGACATGCTAGGTGTGGTGAGGAATACAAAATATATAAAGTATCCTACCCTACAAATATGAGGTGTTGGGAGGAAAAAAAACTCCCCCTTCCCCCAAAAAATAACAGAACTAAAAAAAAAAAAAAAAAAAAAGGAAAAAAAAACTTAATTTTTTTTTTTAGACAATCTCGTTCTATTGTCCAGGCTGGAGTGCAATGGCGCAATCATAGCTCACAGAAGCTTCGACCTTCCTGGCTCCAGCAATCTTCACACCTCAAGCTTCCTGAGTAGCAGGGGTGATGGGCACATGCTATCACATCCAGCTAATTTTTAAAAATTTTTTGGAGAGACAGGGTCTCACTGTGTTGCCCAGGCTGGTCTCGAGCTCCCCGGCTCAAGCAATCCTCGTCCTTGGTCTCCCAAGGTGCTGAAATTACAGCTGTGAGCCACTGTACCCTGCCATAACTAAATATAATAAGAGATTTTCTCATATTGCTATACGGCCTTTCGTCTCCCCACAAAAAAAAAAAAAAAAAAGAATTACTCCTACAAATAGTACTGAGGCCAATCAGGAACTGTGATTAGCAAGGATCGGATCCCCCAGGATCTACTACAGAAGGGCTGCACTCTATGTCACAGCTGGCTTGGAAGCTTGGCTTTGCCATTTACTGGCTTGATTACTTAGGCAGGTTATCCAACATCTTTGAGCCTGTTTCCTTTTCTGTAAAAGGAGATTACTACCATCTACATGAGATTATTGTGAGGCAGGGGAAATGAGATGTATAAAACTCCTTGCAGAATGCCTAGCACGTAACACAAATGTTCAAAGTTAATTCAATCTGTTCAATGTCTCATTTTCTTCTTTGCGTGTGAGCATCCCCCTAATTTCAAATGTCCCAATTTCTGATTTAAGCCTCAAAGGCACAGAGACAGACCATGGCAGCGGCCCTCACTTTTTCCAATAGAAATGTCACATGACACATCTGTTGGCCCCACTGGCTCAAGGAGTTTGCTGTAATACATGGATAGGTCATTTGGTAATGAATTTTTAACCTCTACATTGTTCCAATCCATGGTTTTCCTAATTCGCCTTGTATTTAATTTATACCACCCTTGTCATACTTCATGTATCCTG